TTTTTTTTTTTTCAACCCAATATGCTGAAAATAAGAGTTTGAAACTGAACTCAGTGTAGTGAAAACTTATGTTTATACTCTTGGCTTCTTCTAGTCCTTCGTCCCCTGTATGTCGACTTTTGTAATGAATGAGATATTGCTTCCCTTTTTGTTAATTCAGTTATAGAGAAGTGAGTACCTTGTAGTCATGAAATTGGAAACATCAAAGCATGAAAATAGTTAAAAGTGGGACAAAGGTAAATACAATCTCTTAGAGGAGCACAAATTATGAATGAGATCATACTTAAATCATAGAGAATCATAAATAGTGACTGTTTTCTCGTTTTCAGTTTATGCAATCAACCAATACTTGCATTTGTCCCAGAATGGGTATATTAGATGCTGATGTAGAGGCTCACACATCTGTAATTTTAATGGCATGGGTATTTTTACTTTCTGAACCATCTGAAATTTAGCAAATATGACACAGGTACATTATTTTGTTCAATTTCCATCATGATTATTTAATGGAAACCATTCTTTAAATGAGAACATATTATTCACAACCATTCATATGTTGTGATCAAATGAATGTAAGTTTATTTCAGAAATGAATGTATCTTTCTAATTATGCATCGTTGATTAAGTAATGCATCAATTAACTTCGAAACGAGCAGTATACCATTGTAATTGTAATGCATGTTTATAACTATATTGGTGCTCATAGAAGGCTATAATGTGAAATTCAAGTTTTGTTTCTGTATTTGAAGTGTTTTTTATTGGTCAATTATTCGCAGTAATTTTAAATCATAAATTCATGAATGCACAATATCTTTTGAATAGCTGAAATTTGACCTCGCATTCTTGTTTTAATAAGTGGTTCCTATTTGAACAAAATCCTATATGTATTATCTTGTTTTTGCTACTGCCCTTCAACAATGCATTTTTTATTTTTTCTCTATTCCTTTCTAGTTCTATAGTAAGTAACTGTGCGAAGCACGAGCTATATTTATTCACGGATTTTATAAATTGAGGGTTATTCTACAATAAAAGAGTTATCATACATAGGGGGTAGTTGTCCAATTATGAAATATTCGACATAAAAAATTTATGTATTATTGAATCGACAATATCTTAGAAAAGTCGGGAATTATATTGTTAATTGCATGTTTAAAACAATAGGACACAATTAAACAATTTCAATTGAGATTTGCACAGTTGAAATTAAACTATAGGTATATTCATTTTTTATTTTAGATTTATTAACAATTATGTAAATAAATTACTGGATTTTAATTTTGGGATGAACATAAATCCACATTTTTTTTTTCATATGAGTTGCCGATATCTTAGAGAACACGTAAATTCAATAGGTAATTTAGCTATATTTATTCACGGATTTTATAAATTGAGGGTTATTCTACAATAAAAGAGTTATCATACATAGGGGGTAGTTGTCCAATTATGAAATATTCGAAATAAAAATGTATTATTGAATCGGCAATATCTTAGAAAAGTCGGGAATTATATTGTTAATTGCATGTTTAAAACAATAGGACACAATTAAACAATTTCAATTGAGATTTGCATTTGACAGTTGAAATTAAACTATAGGTATATTCATTTTTTATTTTAGATTTATTAACAATCATGTAAATAAATTACTGGATTTTAATTTTGGGATGAACATAAATCCACATTTTCTTTTTCATATGAGTTGCCGATATCTTAGAGAACACGTAAATTTAATAGGTAATTTAGCTATATTTATTCACGGATTTTATAAATTGAGGGTTATTCTACAATAAAAGAGTTATCATACATAGGGGGTAGTTGTCCAATTATGAAATATTCGAAATATAAATGTATTATTGAATCGGCAATATCTTAGAACAGTCGGGAATTATATTGTTAATTGCATGTTTAAAACAATAGGACACAATTAAACAATTTCAATTGAGATTTGCATTTGACAGTTGAAATTAAACTATAGGTATATTCATT